AAAATTATTCAGCATTTTGAGACCGTGGCCGATGATGCGGATGGTGATGATCATTGTGATCATGCTCGTGCTGATGGTGAATGAGATGAGGCAGTGTTAGTGACGATGGCGCTCAGAGATACCTGTGCTGAACACGGGTGGTTACTAGTACGATGGGTGCGATTACGATACTGATGATGACGATTGTGATGTTAAGTGATAATGACGACGATGGTACTGATATGACGATGATGTGGATGGCGACGATGATGTAGATAATATTGATGCTGAGTGTGATGTTATGTGGCTGTGCTGTTAGATTTTGTATGTCCACGATGAATGTGATTGCGATGCTGATACTTGTGATAACGATACTGATGACTATCATACGGACCTTGGTAGTACTGTCTTTAACGACAATGAAGATGATTGTGATATATGATCGCGGTGATGATGACGACAATGATGAACATGAGGCGGGCTGCGGGCGGTAAGTTTTAGCCCTGCTGAAATATTGCGTGCTATCGTAACTTGTGCTGCAACACCTGCAGGATTTCTTACACTCCAAAGCGTGATCCCGTGACCCGCAAGATGGCCCCAGAGGCCGTCTTGAAGAGGACCCTTGGAGAGCTCAGGGCGGACCCAAGAGAGCCTCAACTTTGCCTTAAGGGCCTTTGGAGCGACCCAAAATTAAGATTACGCCTGAAGGGCCCCACACCGGCCCCGCGGCGGCCCAAAAAGATCCCTCAGACGACCACGAAGGCCCAAGAGACTCCCAGGACGGCCAACGATAGCTTCACGAGGGCACATGCGACCCCCAAGACTGCCCTCAGGAGCTCAAGAGCCCAAAGACGAACCAAATATAACGAAGCGGTCCATGCTCCATGCGTTCATCGGCGCCAGCGAAAATTAAGCAGGCATGCCGCGAGGGCCGGCGGAAAATATTCTGTGAATCTCAAAGCTGGCGAAAATTATTCTGGGGCCCAATGCCCTACCGGTGAAAATTCAACCACCCACGAATAGTGAATGACAGTTCGGCCCCCTCACTCTGATATATTTATATATATATATAAATACATACATACACATCTATGTTCCCCAAACGGTACTTCCACTTAGGGACTCTTACTGCTGATCTACGGACGTGGGCCTGCCTGTCGGAATGGCGGCTATGTGGTTGCCGTCGCAGCCCCGTCGCTCTGGGCCTGCCCGTCAGTCTGGCGGCTATGTGGTCGCCGTCGCCGCCCCATCGTCGTCTGGGCCTGCTGTTCTTTGCTCCGCATTGCTTTGCACTACTTTGTACTGCATCCCATTGAGTTGCATTGCTTTATTTGTGTCGCTTCGAACTGATGTGCATTACTTTGCATTGTTTTGCATTGTTTTGCTGTGTCTTGCTTTGCCTTGATGTGCCTTGCTTGGCCTTGCATGGCCTTGAACTGCCTCTGCCTTGATTTGCCTTGCGTTACATTGCTCTGCATTGCCATCCATGGCTCTGCACCACATCGATTGCACCACATGAACTGTACCACCTGGAGGGGAGGGCCCGTGGAGGGCCTCGAGAGCCACGAAAACCGCGAGAAGCCCGAGGGCCCGTTTCCCTCAGGACCCGGTTCCCCCCCACGGCGAGGCCTCCCAGCACCGCCGTATAGGATTAGGTCGGGCGTGTCCTCCTACAGGCGAACTTTGGGCGAAAAATAAAACATAGCCCAAAAATGCTGCAAGGTGACCAAACACAGCCCCTAACAAAACTTTGAAAATCGTCCCCAGGCTATTTCTTACCATTTTTGAATACTCCTCCTGTAGAGGGGCATGCCCGACTGAAGTACAGGACCTCCCAGGACCCAGCAGGGAGCCCCAGGCCGCCTGCCCCTACTGCCGCGCCGCTCCCCCCTTCCAAGGGGGAGGAGGGCGGCAGCGGGGCCCTGCAGTGGCTCCCAGGGGGCCGCACACGGAGAAGAACCGCCCGTCCAGATTTTTGTTTGCGCACCCCCCCACGCCCACGCCCACACCCAAACCAAACCCACACCCACACGCAGACCCACACCCACACCCACACCAGCAGCACCACAACGCACGCACGCAGCCACGCACGCACGCGCGCACGCACGCACACCACACACAGGCATCCACACACCCGCACCCGCACCCACAGCCACGCACCCGTTGTTTGGCGTCGCGCGTGGAGGACCCCCCCCCCCCCCCACACACACACACACACACACACACACACACACACACACACACACACACACACACACACACACACACACACCACAACACACACACACACACACACACACGACACGACACGACGACACGACACGACACGACACGACACGACACGACACGACACGACGACACGACACACGACACGACACCACCACACCACACCACACCACACCACACCACACCACACCACACCACACCACACCACACCACACCACACCACACCACACCACACCACACCACACCACACCACACCACACCACACCACACCACACCACGCCACGCCACGCCACGCCACGCCACGCACGCACGCACGCACGCACCACACACACTCACACACACGCACACTCACACACACGCACACGACACACACACACACATACACACACACGCACACACACACACACGACACACACACACACGACACGACATACACACACATACACATACACGCGGGCGAGCGCACAGCACCACGACGACGCACGCACGCAACGCACCCGCGCGCCCAGGCGAGCGTGCCCAGTGACAACGAGGCCCTGCGTCGACTGCTCGTGCCTGCTCCTTGTGATTCTCCACGTAGCGCCCTTCTCAGATGTTGCTTCAGAACGCGAGCATGTCTGGGGTTCGCCCCGTCTGAAACAGATCGAGGAAGAACAAACGGCCCAAACATAAACTGTCGACGCTCCGCGCGGATTTCTTGGATCTGCGCTGGGCCCCTCTCCCGGGCGCGCGCCAGGGGGGCCAATGCGCCGATCCAAGAAGTCCGCGCGGAGTGCAACAAAAACTTATGCGCATGGCGTGTTCTCTTCTTCGACCAGGGCCGTGCTGGGGCGGCCCCGCCCACGACGCCGCCAAGAAGAAGGCCGAGCGCACGGCCAGAGAGAGAGAGAGAGAGAGAGGAGGCCCACGCCCCCCACCCCAGCGGCGCGAGTGGCCCCCCCCCCCCCCCTCATATTGTCCTTACGAGCGCGAGCATGTCTGGGGCTCGCCCCGTCCGACCACGGAGCCGTTCTCGGGAGGCCCCGCCGAAGACACCGCCCCGCCGGGAGAGCGAGCCCCTGGGCCTCCTGCGGATGTCGCTGGGGGGAGGCAGGCCCCCCTGGAGGCACACCTCGAGGAGGGGAGGCGGAGGGAGAGGGGATTGCTCTTGTTGCGTCCTCCTCCTCCTCCTCCGCCTCCTCCTCCTCCTCCCTGGCCCCCCTCCCCTCGGGCCCTGGAGGCCCGAGGGGGGAGGGGGCAGGGACGCCCAAGACCGAAGGGGCCCAGCGGCACGCACACTTTTTTGGTCGTCGGCGGCGAGGCAGAAAAAAAACTGCTCCAGCGGGCGGCGATCGGGGCGACCAATACGCGAAGTGGCTGGCGTGCGCAAGGAGGGGGGAACTGGACAGACAGGGCGTCCGCGAAGGACGGGAGAAGGCGGAGGGCACTCAGACGCGGAAGAAATCCATGCAGAGTGCGCTGGCGCGGCCAGCGGGACATGCAAACAAGTACACACAAAGCCCCCCGAGCCCTCCAGAGGCCCCCGAGGGCCCTCCAAAGGCCCCTGGAAGCCTCCCAGGCGCCCCCAAGGCCCCCCCCCCCCCAGAGCCCCCACGGGGCCCCCAGGAAGGCTCCCGCATGCACCCAAGAGTTCTCCAAGAGGCCCAAGAGAGGCGTCCCAAGATACCCTCGTATTCATCCAGGAGGCCCCTGATCCGAGATAAAAAAGTTCCGCGATCGCATCAAACACTCACTCCTTGTGGGAGTCGGCGGAATGGCGTAAGCCACTTGAATCTACAACAGCCCTAAGATTCTCAATGTGTTTCCATGTGTTCTGGGCTTTCGTTTTCCCCTCCACGTCCCATGCTTCCTCTCATTTTTCCAGGGGCCATCGGCATTTATGTGTGTGTGTGAGTGTGAGTGTGAGTGTGAGTGTGAGTGTGAGTGTGAGTGTGAGTGTGAGTGTGAGTGTCTGCGTGAGTGTGAATGTGAGTGTGAGTGTGTGTGTGTGTGTGTCTGTGTTTGTGTTTGTGTGTGTTGTGTGTGTTTGTGTGTGCATGTGTGTGCTTGTGTGTGCTTGTGTGATTGTGTGTGTGTTTGTGTGTGTTTGTGTGTGTGCTTGTGTGTGTGTGCTTGTGTGTGTGTTTGTGTGTGGCTGTGTGTGTGCTTGTGTGTTTGTGTGTGTGTCTGTCTATTTGACCCCCCTGAGAAGCCTCGGACCCTCGATGCACCCCGATTCGTGGTGCTTCGGCTGGCACCTGCGGTCGGGAACTTCTGCACAGCGTGCCGCGGCGGCACGCCTGGCGACATGCCATTCCCTGCGAGCTGATGGTGTCCCTCCGCGGAGCAGCACGCCTCGAGAGGCTGACGTGGATGCTCGGGGACCGGGGCGTGGTTCGCGGCTGTGGGCGGCGGCACACGCTGAGCAAACGTTCCCGATCACATCGGCACTCGATCTTCTGAGATGGCAGGCCCCCAAATGGAGGCGGCCGGGAGGTCTGACCCGGACGGGCCCCGAGAAAATATGCCAAGCTGGAGGACAAGGGCAAGTCCGTTCAAAATCTGTCCCTGGAACCGCCCCCCCCCGGATCCATCCCGTGTAATTTTCATCCCGGATCAATTTGACGGTCCCAGGGCCCGAAAACGATCCAAAGATACCCCAAAAGGCAAAAACAAAACACAAACCTTCCTGAGCCCAGAACCTCGAACCCCACCCCCCCTTCCTGCCGGCAAGAATCAGTACTGGGCTCCTCGAACCCCCAACCTGGCGCAACCCAAATGCCCGTCAGAGAGCCGGGCGCAGCCGAGGTGGCTGCCGACACCAGCGACTCGTCGAGCCACTCGCGCGCCAGCGCGTCGAAGAAGAGGTCGGCGAGCATGTGGGCGCGTCGGGCGTCGCCCGTGCGCTTGTGGACCATGGCCATGAACTGGGACAGTCCGACAGGCGATCGACGTCTTACAGTGCAGGTCAGTTTACAAGAAACCTTCCACAAGATACCCAACCCTGAGACCCCAGGACGTCCATCGGTTTTTGGTGTGGGGACGTCCTGCGCTCCATCTCAACACCATCGAAACCCAAGAACCCCAGGGCATCCTGCAGGCAAGCAGAGTGAATCTTGGCATGGGCCCCCACTGTATCCATGCCCCTGCTCACGCCAAAACTCCACGAGGGGGCGGAGCGGGGGCATGGCTGGAACTCCAGCCTCTGGAGGCGGACACTGCTTGATCCGTGCCCGGCCCGCCCCGGCAGACAGGGGGGGGGGGGGGCTGCAGCAGGGACATGCGAGCGGCGATGCACTCGATCCGAATGCGGACCCGAGCCCCGAGATCGCGAGAGCATCGAGCTCGAATGCGGCGATGCACGAAGCTCCGAAAGTTCAGGTTCGTGCCGGTTCTTCAAAGAAGAATCGCCGGACAATTTGCTTATCGGTGATCGGTGCCCCTGGTTAGCCCGACGCTGATGCGGATCGCCTCCACTGCGCCGCCGACGGAAACCGTCTTCGAAGAAGGGGAGGAAGGAAGAACGGGAGAGGGGAACGATGGTGGAGGAGACGAGGAGGGAGGAGGAGGGAGGCTACGAGGAGAGTGGGAAGCGAGGGGGAGGAGAGAAGGAGGGAGGAGGGAGGACACGAGGGAGAGGGCAACGAGGCGGGGGGGGGGGGGGCAGGACGGAGCACACGCCTGCCCTCGAGAGCCGGAGACTGTGCCGTGGGCCCGGCCCGCCTCCTCCTCGGTGCGCTGCCGGTGCGACTGCAGCGCGCTCCACTGGCGGTCTGCCCTGCGGGCCTGGCCGCGCGGGATGAGAGCCGAGGGGGGAGGAGGGCGGAGGGCCCCGGCGGAAGAAGGGCACCTCGTGGGGGCAGGGCTTCGTTTTCTTCTCCACGACTGAGAACTCAGATAACCTTCTTGGCACAACAACTGTGCATGTCACGGAATATCTCTAGGAGGTTGTGAACATGTCAAACGGTCAGAAGGAAAAGCTGTATGCCTGAAGAGCTGTAAAGGAGACAGGGCTGATGAGGAGGCGCGGAGGAGAATATTGCCCTCCTGGGCCCGGCCACGCGGCGAGCCGAGGGAGGCGAATGGCGGAGGGCAGTGGCGAAAGAGTGGCACCGCGCGGGGATGGCACTGAGGAGGACGCGCGGAGGAGAATCGTGAGGATATAGAATGGTGAGGGGTGGTGGGGGAGCGGTGGTGAGGAACAGTCAGGATGCGTGGAGGACGACGTCGAGGAAGAAGGTGAGGGGATGTGGAGTGTGAAGGAGCCTGTGGAAGCACGGCAAGGAGTGAGAAGGCGAAGGACGAGTGAAGGGAAGAGGACGGCGTCTGGACTCAGACCGTCGTCTGACTGGGCGCTGGTCTTCTGAACAAGACTGCACTCAGCCTGGCCTTCGATCAAGACATTGGCACACTGACGTGTCGTCGCCCCTCCACCCGCGGCTCCCGTGCCAGTTCTGCCGCGCAGCCGCCATGCGAGCACCCTCCCTCGGCATCCTTATCCTCCTCGGCCTCGCCACTTTACTCCAAACGCCACCTCCAACTCCTACCTGATCACGGTCCGGAGGTCTTGCTTCGCCCGTCCCGGCGGCGGCCCAGGCAGCGCGCAGTAGGCCCTGCGAGCTGAGTCTGCGTGCCGCGCCGCGCCGTCGGACGGGAGGCTGGGCAAGGCTCGGACAGCTGACGCTCGGGAGTTGGGACGTGGCCAGCGTGTGGCGCCGAGGCGCGGTGGGCCGGAGCTGGCGGCGCGGCACGCCGAGCAAACGTTCCAGACCGTATCCCCCTCTCGACCTCGTCCTCGCAATGGCTCTTCGTCGCCGTTCTCCTGCCAACGTCCCGACAGCGCCCCGGCAGACGGGAGAGCCCGCCACCTGCCGGCGGACATCGGGCCCCGGGTGGCCACCACTCGCAGCGTGCGGGTGCCCGTTCGCTGCAACAGCGTGCAGAAATGAGGTGGCGTTTCTGCAACACGGTGCACGATCCAGACCCTCCAGCTGCAGTGCTCAATACACTCTCGTGCTTCCCATCCTTTCCTCACCGACAGCACGGATGAATGAGTGACCTCGACCTCCAATGTTCACAGCATGATGCGAAGCAGCGGGCGGCGGCCGCCAGCTCGCACGCGCCCGCGCGCATAATATATTCAAATGGGCCTTGAAACAGAGCGGCTCACCACACAAGCGGTGTTTCGTTCTCTTCCGACTCCCGCCGATCAAGTGATCAACATTGACAGGGGTGGGCTCCAGAAACATGACTCAGTTTTCGCACGGAGTTTCCTGCACAGCTGCTAGCCTGAGAGCACGGAGCCCTCTAGGTTTGTCGTTCGTGTCGTGTCGCCGCCCCCGTCCCCCTCCGCGCCCCCCCGTCCACCCCCCCCCTCACTCCCCAGCAACTCCCCCCGTCAAACCCCCCACATGGCGGATTCCGGACACCCTGAACCAAAACATGTTGTCATATCTTGGGGGCGCCTTATTTACTTCCGCCACCTTCCGCCGCCCTTCTGCTGGCTTCCGCCAGCGAGGCGGTCTGATTTTACTTCCACCGACCTTCAGCCGCCCTTCCGCCGCCCTTCCGCCGCCTTCCACCGAGGAAGGGATGACAACTCCTTCGATCCTCAAAGGCGAGGCCACGTTTGGAACGCCTCACATGCCTTCCAAGACGGCCAGCGAATGACTCCAAGATGCTCAGGGAGCCTGGAAGACGACCCCACAGGCCCGAGGATGGGATCCAAGGGGCCCCAAGATAGTCAGCGGGACGCTCCCGCGCGGTAAAACTGAACAGCACCCAGTATGGCTCCCCAAAGAATGCCGCATTCTCCAAGTTCCAGCTCCAGGTGGAGATGGGCCTCAGAACCTTCGGAGGTATCGAAGACGCCCACGAGCCCCGCAAACAGCCTCAGACGCCCTCCCGATGGACTCAGATGGTCCCAAGCCAGCCCCAAGAGGCCCCAATACGCACCCAGGCCCCGAAAGGCCCCAAGGGAGCCGACCAAGATGGCCTCGACAAGCCTCAAAATGCCCGATCCTCATCGTGCCAATTGAAACTCATCAATGATATCAGGACTTTATGATGATTTTCGCCTCGCTTCCGCATGGTTTATGCTCTGCTTACTCATGCCTCCATCGTAAACCGTTAACTGCGCAAGCTTGTCATCCCGCTTTGGCGAGTCTGGCATGCTCCCCGTTTCTGGACGCAGCATTTTCGGTGACTCAAAGGCGGGTATATCACCATCGCTGGAATAATAAACAACTGCATAAGCATAACTGCGCTCCGCGCAGATTGCTTGGGTCCGCGCTTGGGAGCGCGCCAGGGGCGGCGCCACCGCCGGGGGGGGGTGTCCCGAGGTGTCCCGTGGTGTCCAATGGTGTCCCGCTGAGTGAGATCGATACTGAGACCGATAGTGAGATCGAGAGGTGTCCCGCGGTGTCCCGCGGTGTCCCGTCGTGGCCCGTGGTGTCCCGTGGTGTCCCGTGGTGTCCCGTTGAGTGAGATCGATGGTGAGATCGATAGTGAGATCGACAAGTGTCCCGTGGTGTCCCGTTGAGTGAGATCGATGGTGAGATCGATTGAATCAGATGTTGGATCCCCCCCCTCTCCCTTCCGCCACAACCTCCTTATCACCCGAAGGGTGGTCGTATCGGTACATACTAATGTAGCACAAGTCGGGGTGTCATCCGTGGTGCTGACTCTCGGCCGAAGCAGGGGCGAGCTCCGGGGCACGGCGCAGACATCTGTTAGGCTCAGGTCGGGCACGTCCTCCTGTAAGCAGATTTTGAAGAAACTGACAAATCGGGAAAAACACATTCAAAGTGATAAAACACGAAACATCGTCCCCAGCCTATGTTCTGAGTATTCTGCAGTATTCCTCCTGCAGAGGGACATGCCCGGCTTAATGCTAGGCGGCTGCCGCCTCGGCGGCGCTCAGCGCATCCAGCAGGCTGTGCCGCAGGGAGAGGTGGGCGGCGTTCAGGAGCGGCACCTTCCCGCCGCGCAGCCGCACGCCCAAGTTGGCGAGGAACCGGGACTCCTGCCACCAAAGGGCGGGGGGGGGGGCGGCGGCAAGAACCCCGCCAGTCCCTCAGAGATGATCTATTTTACTTGTCGGTGATGCCCTGGTTTACCCCCCTCTCGCTCGAGACATCCCCAGCGTCCAGCTCGGGGAGGCATCGTGGACCTCCTCGCTGGAGGTGGCCCCCCTGGTGGTGTTGGTGTCGCATCTCCCCCCTCCGAGGGGGGGGCCAGGCAACGACCGTTACGCGCCAGAGGATAAAGAAGACAGTCTCCAGAGGGCTGAGGTGGTGCGAGCCTGATTAACCCCCCAAAAAAACCTTGACCCGTTGGGAGGGGACCCACATTCGGAGGGCCAGAAACATCAGGGACAGGGGCTCCTTTCTGCAACTGTGTCGAACCAAACCGCCAAGACTTGTTATCCCAAGTTAGTGCAAAGACGGGGACCTCAGTGAGGCCAAGTCTTCAGTGTGTTATCATGGTTAGGGACTCGTTATTCTCGATGAGAGCCAGGCCCGCGCGGCCGAGGAACTGAAGTGGAAGTGGGCTCGCTCTCCGAGGCCCAGCCGGGGCGAGCGCCACAGAGCCCAGACGTGCGGAAAGGCGGTGCCGGGGGCCGGGGCGCAAGCTACACCGACGCCGTGGCGCCCGAACGTGAGATATTCGCGACGACGCCCGTGACCGGCCACCGGCCCACGCCCCCCCTCCACTGCCCAGATCATGGGATGCCCACTTGATTCGGTCGCGATCGGTAGCGACCGATCGGCACTCCAGATCGGTCGCGACCGATCCCAAAGTCGGTCACGACCAGTCACCACCGATCGCGACCGATCGGTCGCGACCGATTTTGAAGCAGATCGGTCGCGACCGATATCGGAATTTGAAGCAACATCGGTAGCGACCGATCTCGTCGGGCGCGCCTGGAAAATTCCAGCATCTGATGATCAGGGCACTGCCCCCACCCTATTCGCGCTGGCATCGTGCGGAAATTTTAGCCATATTCGTGCAGCATTTCCGGACGGCGCTGTCGCGAGTCGTGGAGCGACGTTGGCTCCCTCCCCCACCTCCTCCTCCTCCTCCTCCTCCTCCTCCTCCTCCCCTCCTCCTCCTCCTCCTCCTCCTCCTCCTCCTCCCCCTCCTCCCCCTCCTCCCCCTCCTCCACCCCCTCCCCCCGCCTCCGCCTCCCCCTTCCCCCCGGTCACGCCCGTGCTCGACAAGAAGGGGAAAGAGAGAGGCTTCGTAATCAATTTGTTCGACGACCTAGGGGGCCTGGAGCTCTCTCGACGCTTCCCTGCCAGACGAGACGCCAAGATAGGGACAACATCGGAAAAGGGATACGAAAATCGGGGATATCTGAGATCCAGCAGTTATGGAGGCTGGAGGGTACATCTAGAAAAACAGGAAGCGGCATAAACATAAGCTTTTGGCGCTCCGCGCGGATTTCTCGGATCCGCGCTGTGCCCCTATCACTGGAGCGTGCCAGGGGCGGCGCCAGAGGCGCCGCCAAGGGGGGGCCCAGCGCAGATCCAAGGAATCCGCGCGCGTTTTTTGTTGATATATCAGGAATGTCTGAGATCCTGTGGTTCTAGAGGCTGGAGGATGTATCGGGCGCCGCGACCTTCACAGAGCGTTCCAGAGTGCTGCAAGAGTGTTCTGGAACGCTCTGCACTGGGTAGCCCTTGTTGCATGTTGGCGCCCAGTTGTTTAGTGGCCCCTGCCACTCTAGAGGGTAGGAAATCCACCTCCGTACTAATCATCCCGACAAGCGAAGACGTTTATTAAACGCACCCGAGGAAGGAATCTAACGGGGCAGGGCTGTTCAGTAAACGCCCATGCAGGGACGTTTAGTAAAGGTCACTTGTCGGGTCTGGGTGGTTTTTTCCTCCCTTGACACTCAGTGCCCACAAACGGGCCGCCTGGATCGATTTTGAAGCGACGTGAGACGCTGCACGAGGCAAAGGAGGGGACAAATGAGCGGCGATCACAAACGGGTCCCACGCGAGAGAACATAGCGACCTTACGCGGCGGCTCACGCGGGCCGCCAGCGCGGCACGCCACATTGGAGACGAGGGCGCTTGCGCGCGACCTCGCGTGGGCAGCGTACGCGCCAATGTCGGCGCAGACGGCCCCGTTGTTTTGCGCCGCTCAGATGCGGAGGCGGAAATGCAAGAGTCTGGGCGGCCGTTCTCGCCCTTCCTCTCCCTATCCTCCTCCGGCACGGGGCCGTCTCCAGTGTAAAGCCGTCGCGCCCCGGGGCGCGTGGCGGGCGCGAGGGCGTCTACAAGTGGCGCGACAGCGGTTTCCAGATGGCGGAAGACAGAAGAGGCATCGACATAGACATACACTTGCGGCGGCCGGCGCGGATGTCTGGCATCGGCGCGGGCCCACCCTGCCTGGCGCGCGGAACGCGCCAGGGGCGGCGTCGGAGATGCCGCCAGGGGGGTCCGCCGCCGACCTAAGAAATTCGTGCGGACCTCTGGATGCCTATCCATGTCTTCTTCGTCTTCGAGAGGAGGGGGACAAGGAGGAGGGGGAGGAGGAGGAGGGGGATGGTGAAAATGATGATGATGATGCTGATGATGATGATGCTGCTGCTGCTGATGATGATGATGATGATGATGATGATGATGCTGAGTATGATGCTGATGCTGATGATGATGCTGATGATGATGATGATGGTGGTGATGATGATGATGATGATGATGATGATGATGACGATGATGATGATTATGATGATGATGCTGCTTCTGCTGATGATGATGATGATGATGACGAGGAGGAGGAGGAGGGGGGTTGGATAATCCATCTCCTCTGGTGGCGCGATCTCTTCGCGGCGCGGGCCCCTGGGGATCTGGGCCTCTGCCGGGGTAGGAGGCGGGATGATCCGCCCCAGGTCGCTTATTGACGGTCCACAGGCCAGGGAATGGGCAAATGTTCCACCACCACTGCTATAGGACGGGGAAGAAGGGAGAATGGGGAGGTCTCCCTCCTCCTCCTCCTCCTCCTCCTCCTCCTCCTCCTCCTCCTCCTCTTCCCCCTCCTCCTCCTCGTCCTCCTCCTCCTACCCATGGTAGTGGTGGCGGGAAATCGGCCCATCAAGTGAAGGGCCCCGCGAGGCCGCAAACCTAGAAAAAAGATGGCCGCCGCGAGCTTCTGGCTGCGCCTGGGTCTGAGGGGTGCCTGTGCTGGGCCCGCACGTGTCGGAATCTGGAAGCCCTGAACCAAAACATGTTGCCATCTTGTACTTCCTTTTTTACCATCGCAACACCCTAGAACAATCAATCGGAGGTCTTCTGCCAGCGGAGGCGGCCTCGGAGCGGAGGCGGCCTCATTCTGCATCCGCCGCCCTCCGCCGACCCTCCGCCCTCCCTCGGCCGAGGCAGGGAGGCCCACTCCTGCGGCCCTCGAAGCCCGAGGGGCCCTTTCGTCGGCGCGGCTCGGAGCAGCTCCACGGACTCCTCCCGGGACCCCATCGCACCAGTCGTCCGAACTGTGCCCCCCGGCGGTGGCAACGAAGGGGCCCGCCCGAAGGCCAGCTACCACCCTGCTCCGGTCTCGCCCTCTTCTGATTTCCAGGGGCTAGAGGCCTTCCAAATCAAGTGCGAGTAGGTGAGGTCGGGGGAATGCGCTGCATCGCAGACGCATCGCCGATGCATCGGCAACGTATCGGCGATGCGTCGGCGACGTCAGCGATGCATCGCCGCCGACGGCGTGGCGAACATCGGACCACGCATCGAGCCGCATCGCCGATGCATCGGCAATGCGGCGCGATCCTCCGACCCCACCTACTCCGGCCCCATCTGGGAGGTCTAGAAGAGGGGTTATTTCTCGTCTGGGTCGCTGGCTGTACCTTGGCGGCCTCGACGACGACGACGACGACGACGACCACGACCACGACGACGACGACGACGACGACGACGACGACGACGATCTCGACGACCATGTCGAACTGGGAATACAAGTTCCGTCGTCCACTCCCCAATGGTGCGCTGCGACCCGCCCCCAGCTACCATCCGAATCTCAACTCGCCCGCCTCGGACTTCTGAAGCGAGGCCCACTCAAGAGCGCCCCCTGCTCCTAATTAGCAGGGGAGAAACGGGTCCTGAGAGAAACGGGTCCTGGACCCTGGGGCCTTCTCCCAGGACCAAATCTTCATCCTGCTTCGTGTTCTGACGCTCCCAGGACCCGTGGAAAGCCCCGAACGCCCGAAAACAGAAAAAAAAACTCGGGACCTGTTTTTCTCAGGACCCGCTTCCCCCTCGGCGATCGCTCGATTCCCGGGGACAACAGAAGGTACCGACACCGCTACTCCCCAGACCTCTCCCGGGGCGCGCTCGGACCAGAATCTCAAGGCGAATCCAGCGGTGGCGACGAGGGCCTCCCAGTAGGGCGAACAAAGGGAAAACTGACGAAGGGTAGCAGTATGGGAACCTTCCCAGACCCCCGACTTCGTGAATTTTTCGCAACGTCGACCCCCAGGGGTCTGGACCCATTCCCTGGGTTCGGTTTTTCATCCCGAGTCGTTTTTTGACGGTCCCGAGGCCTGGTATAGGCCCTTGGGGCCGAAACTAGCGAAAAACTGTCCGTCGCGACTCTCTCACACAGCGAGGGGGTCTGGTTTCCTTCTCCGCACTTCTGACGCGAGGCCCTTTCTGCAGCGCCCCGCCGTGCGCCTCGGCGGCCACGGCCTCGTTGAGCCTCCGCGCGGCCTGCAGCAGGGCGTCCTCGGAGGGCCTCGGCCGCCCGGGGTCGGCTCGGCCGCCCACCCCCCTTCGGGGGTGCCGCCTCCGGCGCGCCCACCGCGCTGGAGGGGAGCTGCGCACCCAGAGTGCAGTCGACCTCCTCCTCCTCCTCCTCCTCCTCCTCCTTTTCCTCCTCCTCCTCCTCCTCCTCCTTCTTTTCCTTTTCCTCTTCCTCTTCCTCCTCCCCCTCCTTTCCCCCCATTTCTCGCCTCCTCCTCCTCCTCCTCCTCCTCCTCCTCACTCATCTCCTCTCTTATCCCTTTTCTGACGTTGCGTCCTCCCCCCCTTCTCCTCTCTCCTCTCCTCCTCCTCCTCCCCCCTCCCTCCTCCCCCCATTCCTCTCCTCCCTCCCCCTCCTCCTCCTCCTCCTTCCTTCCCCCATTTCTGCCTCCTCCTCCCTCCTCCTTCCCTCCACTCTCTGATCTGCTCCCTTCTTCCTCCTCCTGCTCCTCCTCCTCCCTCCCCCCCCCCCCCCCCTCCTCTTCCTCTCTCCTCCTCCTCCTCCTCCTCCGCTCCTCTCCTCCTTCTCTCGTCCTCTTCCTCTTCCTCTTCTTCCTCCTCCTCTCCTCTACCTCCTCTTCCTCCTCCTCCTCTCCTCTCCCTCCTCCTACCTCTCCTCCTGCCCCTTCCTCTACTCCTCCTCGTCTTCCTCTTCCTCTTCCCTCTTCTCTTCCTCTTCCCCCTCTCCTCCCTCCGCCTCCTCCTCCTCTTCTCCTCTCCTCCTCTCTTCTCCTGCTCTCCTCCTTCCTCCTTCCTCCTCCTCCTCCTCTCCTCCTCCTCCTCCTCCTCCTCCTCCCCCTCCCTCTCCTCACCTCGCGGGCCGACTCTGGCGCGCACCGCGCCGGAGGGGAGCCCCGCACCCAGAGTGCAGCCGACCCGTATCATAAGGATGCGCGGCAAGGATGCAAGGTCCTTCTTGGAGGGCCATGTCCAGCGATGCTGGCCAGCGAGAGTCGCCAAAGATGGGCCGAAGGAGCAAGGATGCAGGGGTACCCTTGGGAAGGTTGCCCATCCTTGCGATGCGGATGGACTGTACAGTCGAGGCACGGCCCGACACAGGACAGAAAGACCTCGACACGCCCCCCACCCCCCCCACTAGCTGCGAGAAGGCTCCAGAGCCCCCCCCCCCCAAAAAAAAAATGGAAACTGATTATTTTTTCTGGCGGCCTTATCGAAGAACTGGGGTCCCACCAATAGGGGCTAACTAATTCCCCACATGCTTCGTGGGGTTCTGGTTTTCTTCCTTGCCGCGCCGCACCCGCGACACTCCCACACACACACCTCACTCTTCCTCTCCTCCTCACAGCACTGCTCAGCACATCTCATCTCAGCTCAGCTCAGCTCAGCTCAGCACGGCACAGCTCAGCACAGCACAGCTCAGCTCATCTCAGCACAGCACAGCGCAGCACAGCAAAGCACAGCATAGCTCAGCCCAGCTCAGCACAGCACAGCTGAGCTTAGGGGGTGCGCACGGGGTGGTCCCTCACCGCGGCCGCACGCAGGAATGCAGGGCACGGCAGGCGTGGCACTTTCTCGACACCAGAGGGGGTGCACAGGGGGTGCGGTCTCTATGCGTTGCAGGGCGCAGGGCACGGCAGGCGCGGCATTTTCTCGACACCAGGAGGGTGCGCAGGGGGTGCGGGCTCTATGCGTGCAGGCGCGCAGGGCGCGGCAGGCGTGGAATTTTCGACACCAGAGGGGGTGCACAGGGGGTGCGGTCTCTATGCGTTGCAGGCGCGCAGGGCACGGCAGGCGCGGCATTTTCTCGACACCAGGAGGGTGCGCAGGGGGTGCGGTTCTCTATGCGCTGCAGGCGCGAGACACCGGCAGGGGATGCGTTGCGTGTCTCGACAAGAGGGGGTGCACACGGGTGCGGTCTCTATGCGTTGCAGGCGCGGCACGGCGGTGCGCATTTTCTCGACACCAGGAGGGTGCGCAGGGGGTGCGGTCTCTATGCGTTGCAGGCGCGCAGGGCGCGGCAGGCGTGGCACTTTCTCGACACCAGAGGGGGTGCACAGGGGGTGCGGTCTCTATGCGTTGCAGGCGCGCAGGGCACGGCAGGCGCGGCATTTTCTCGACACCGGGAGGGTGCGCAAGGGGTGCGGTCTCTATGCGTTGCAGGCGCGCAGGGCGCGGCAGGCGTGGGAATTCTCGGCACCAGAGGGGGTGAACAGGGGGTGCGGTCTCTATGCGCTGCAGGCGCGCAGGGCACGGCAGGCGCGGAATTTTCTCGACACCAGGAGGGTGCGCAGAGGGTGCGGTCTCTATGCGTTGCAGGTGCGCAGGGCATGGCAGGCGTGGGAATTCTCGACACCAGAGGGGGTGCACAGGGGGTGCGGTCTCTATGCGCTTCAGGCGTGCAGGGCGCGGCAGGCATGGCAAAGTCTCGATAACAGATGGGGGTGCGCGTGGGGTGCGTTCTCTATCCGTTGCAGGCTCGCACGGCGCAGCAGGCGTGTCATTTTCTCGACATCAGAGGGGGCGCGCAGGGAACGGCCACCAACATCATTCTCACATGCTTCTTTTCAGCTATCATCACTCCAGCCATAATATAAGTATGTGGGGCTCCTCGGTAGCGTAATCATGTTTTTCCGCGGCACACTCTGCGCAACAACGACGACGACAGCTACGACTACGACAGCGACTACGACTACGACGACTCCAACTACTACTGATGCCTCAAGAGGTTTTAGGGCCAGTCTTATTCATCGCCGAGTGAACGGGGGAGCAAAACTGAAGACCTCCTGAGGTCAGCGGCATCCAAGAGAAGGTCCGACCCCCGCTCGGCAAAAGAGTAACCCTAGGCCCCAGGCAGGAGTGGCCTCTGGTGCGCGGCTCCCGCGGGCCGCGGCGCGGGCCAGAGCCAAGCGCGCAGGCCAGTGTTTCTGGGGGACCCCCGGAGGGCCCGCACCCCAACAGCGACGGGCCCCCCCCCGGACCCCCCACACGACGCGACTTGTTCCCGACGTGGACCGCCAGAGGTCCCGAAGCCATTCCCGCGGGACCCGCTCTTCATCCTGAGCAGTGCTTTGACGGCCGCGAGGGCCCACATGTGGCCGAGAGTAGCCAAACACCTCGTGCCGGGATTCTGGTCACGACGCGAGGGAGGAGGAGGAGGAGGAGGAGGAGGAGGAGGAGGAGGAGTCTGAGACTTGCCCACGGGCCTCTCATGGGGCGCGTTCTGACCAAGATTTCGAAGCACATCGGGCCATGGTAAAGACAGAATGGTAGCGGCAGCAATGGGTTGTTCTCCTCTGCGGGACTCCAGTGGACCCGCACCAAGGGTCACGCTGGCGAAGGATCACTCTTGCGTAAAGAAGCTGTTTTCCTCAGACTCCTTCAAGGTTGTCTGCATTGTGGCACTTCCCCCTCCCCCTTCCGCCGCCTTCTCACAAACAGCGCTGGGCCGAAAAGGCGTGCAAGTGAGGTCCAGATTCCCTTTCGGGCCTCACCACGCCCCCCAACCCTCCTACTAGCGGCCTCCAAGATGGGGTCCGAGCAGATGGTGTCGCAGCATCGCGCCGCCTCGCCTATGCATCGGCGGTGCGGGGATGCGGCGCCGTGCATCCTCCAACCCCGTTCAGACCCAATGTATCTACGAGGCCCAGACCCACGCAAATAAAATCACCAGAATCTCAAGGAAAACCGCCTCGAAGTGGATTCTGTGGACAAGACTTCTGTCCATATGTTTGCAACTTGGAGTTCCGAGCTTCTTTCCCCAGAAGCCCGAGGCGCACTGGATATGATAAACATTTGGCCCCTACAGAGGCTCGCTTTTTCTCGATACCCAGTGCGCCTCGGCCTTGCGGCGTCCCTTCCAGGAATGTCCAAGACTCACTGGAGATTGACGATAAAAGTGCCCCTAACCCTTTGGGAGGGGACCGGAGTCAGGAGGGCCAAAAACATCAGGCATTGGGGGGGCTCTGATGCAGATGAATCAGGCCAAACCGCCCAGATGCATTGTCCCTATGATGCGAAGACGGGGACCTGAGTGAGGCCACGTCTTCCTCGTGCTATCAGGGTCAGGGGCTCCTGTGCTCTCGACGAAGACATGGACACAAACACCACACCTTGATCGTGCTATTCGGGTTAGGGGCTCGTTTGTTCTCGACGAAGACATGGACACGCACATTGCCCGCAGGTTCCACCCGTGGCAGAACGAGGCCCCGGCATGTGCGGCGCGCCCCCGGGCAGCTCCAGGCACTGCGCCGGGGCGAGGCGGCGGCGCATCTCGGGCACCACGGCCCGGGCCAGCAGCTCCTGCAGAGAGTACGGCCTTTGGACACGCGAGTTCCAGGGCTCGCAAAGTACCTACTCGCAGTATGGGGGATCTACGATACGTTACGTCGATGCAGACATGTGCTTTTGGGACGTTTGCGAGCAGGCACTTTGCGAGTCGTGGAACGCGCTCGGTGAGCTTTGCTCTCCCGCAGGAGCGGCGTGCATGCGGGGCGTGCAACGGGCGCCTGCTGGAGGCTGCGCACTCTTTGCCGGGGCCTCCAGACGGCGGTCTGTGCGAGAGGGCGTAGCTAATCTACGCCGCGGCTTGCGCGGGCCGCCGGCGCGGCACGCCACATTTGAGACGAGGGCGCTTACGCGCGACCTTTCGCGAGCAGCTTATGCGCGAATGTCGGTGAAGAGAAAGAGCGTGTTCTACCGCTGCTGGCAGAAAACCGGGGGGGTCACTACCGGTTCGAACCTCGAACCCCTCCCCCCCCCCCCTCCGGAAAACCGGGGGGGGGTCACTACCGGTTCGAACCCCTCCTCCCCCCCCCCCAGCTCATCATGAAAAGGGGGGGGGGGTCACTACCGGTTCGAACCCTCCCTCCCCCCCCCCTCGAAAACCGAGTGGGGGTGCGGACAGTGGTGGGGACGGTGTTAGTGGGGACAGTGGTGAGGGGACAGCGGGACAGTGGTGGGGACAGTGGGGGGACAGTGGGACAGCGGTGGGGACGGTAGTGGTGGGGACAGTGGTGGGGACAATGGTGGGAACAGGGGGGACAGTGGACAGTGGTGGGAACGGTGGTGGTGGGGACAGTGGTGTGGGGACAGTGGGAATGAGGTGGAAACACTGGGACAGTGGAGGGTACAATGGTGGTGGGGACACTGGTAAAGGCGTCGGCGAGGACGGCGGTGGGACAATGGGACAGAGGTACAGTGGGGACAGTGGTGGGGACAGTGGGGACAGTGGTGGGAACAGTGGGACAGCTCAGTGGGACAGCGGAGGAGTCAGTGGGACAGTGGGGACAGTGGGGATAGGCAGTGGTTGGGTCCGTGGAGACAGTGGGGAGAGTGGAACCGTGGTGGGAACAGTTGTGGGAACAGTGGGGACAGTGCGACAGTGGTGGGGGCACTGGTGGGGACAATAGGGACGGTGGTGGAACCAGTGGGGGCAGTGGTGGTGAGGACAGTGGTGCTGGGAACAACAGTGGGGGATGTGATGCGAGCGGTGGTAGGGACCGGGAGTCGTTTGCTGGCGGTGCGTGGGGGGGGGTCGAACCGGTAGTGACCCCCCTCCGGTTTTCGAGGGGGGGGGGGTTCCAACCGGTAGTGACCCCCCCCGGTTTCCGGATCCGGAGGGGGGGGGGGGGGGGAGGGGTTCGAACCGGTAGTGACCCCCCCCCGGTTTTCGAGGGGGAGGGGGGGGAGGGGGAGGGGTTAGGGGAGGGGGGGGTTTTGCCGGGAGGGAGGGGGGGGGGGGGAGGGGTTCCAGCGGGGGAGACCCCTGGGTTCCGGAGGAAAAGGTTGGCAATTTTCCACAGTAAAGCAGCGGTGGATCACGCTCTCTCGATGAAGACGAACCCGTTGTTTGGCGTCGCTCCTGCTCGCTCACTCGTTTGTTCGTTCGTTCGTGGTCGTCCGTCCTCGCCAGTCCATCCTGCACCTGGCCTGACCCCCTCGGGCCGTGGCCTTCTCCCGCCTGGTCCAGGGCCACGCCCCTCTCCCCTGCGTCCGCACTCCCCTCCCCCCGCCCCAGGGTTCGAGCTGAGAAATGTTTGTTGTTTTCGTGCTGTGTTCGCTGTCCTTCGTTCTGCCTTCGTCCTGCCTCTGCTGCGAGACGAATCCAACACGGAACCGGTCCACGACATCGCCAACACGAGCCCTGTCCTGCCCCGGCCCGTGCCCCGTCACACCCGGGCGCGCCCAGCCCCGACCCCCTCGAGTGGTGTAACGACGCGGCGGGCAATGTCGGGCGATCTTTCGCCTCTGAGGGCCCTCGATGGGGCCCTGAGACCGTCAAGAGACGACTCGGGGAAAAGAAGAGCCGGCCCCGGGGAATGCACCGAGACCTCGAGGAGTCCAGGGTGCGCGGCAGGCCCACCTCTCCGACGACACACGGCTTTGTGATGCTGGGCGCGGTCTCTCGATGTCGGCCCCTCCGGGGCCGTCACCAGGCCAGGGACAGCCAAGAGCGGATCCAGGATGACAAAAACACCGCCCAGTGAAGCGGTTGGGACATCTGGGACAGCGCATGGTAAAGCAAAAGACAGATCGTTGGACGTCAAGGGGGGCAGGAAGAGGAGGGGATGCACAGAGTGGCCCGATGAGCATGAGCGGAGGAACGGCGTCCAGCGCCAATCGAAGCAATCCGCTCGAACCCTCGAAGATGTCTGCTTATGCTGGTTCTTGCTGATTTTCGACTGCATGGGATGGCTGACTCGTATTTTCGAAGATCGTGGTCGGACAGAGCCCGCTTTCAGCAGAGCAACCCCAGCGGGAACGACCTGGGACCAGACCCCGCGGGCACATGCCCACAAAAACTGCGGCCGCAACACCCTGCCGAGAACAGAAGAAGGGCAATCCGCTGATCGACTCGGCAGGGTGGCTCGGTCAACCTCCGAGGGAGGATCTGTTCGCAACGTCCCCCGGAGGTCTCGGCCCATTCCGGGACAGACTTCTCATACAGAGCTGTTTGTTGACGGTCCCGGGGCCTAGCGGCCGAAAGCAGCAACAACCCACAGTTCTCGGTCGCTTTTGTTTCACGACGCGAGGTTCGTAAACCGAAGAGCAGCAGGATACACGAGCGGCGAACCTACCCACATCAACACGCCATCGCGGCCTGGATTGTGCGGCACGATCCCATGGATACGCGGTCGCACGGATACGCTCTGCGCGGGACATCTGCGAAAGCACGCCCCGTATATATGACCGACTTCGGAACCCTAAACCCAAAACAATGCACATCACTTGGGGGCCACTGCTTACTTCCGCCGCCTTCCGCCAGCCTTCCGCCGGCTTCCGCCAGCGGAGGCGGCCTCGCCGACCCTCCGCCGACCTTCCTCCACCCTTCGCAGAGGAAGAGATGGCAACCTCTTCGATCCTCGAAGGCAGGGCAAGTTCTGGAACGCCTCACATGCCAGTCGCGGCCCAAGGGCCTGGCCCCACGAGGCCGTGGAGGCGCGGGCCCACGACCGTCGACGTCGCCGCTGCTCGCGGCTGGGAGCGAGAGCGGAGACCACACGAGGGCTTGGGGATCCCTGCGGCATCGGCACGCTCCCCCGCCAAAACGCCGACCACGGCGTCCCCCGTGCGAGGTCGATCGATCGCAGCCTCGGCCCGCGCCCACGGACTGTTCCTGGAACCCTGGGCCCCCCCCCGAACAAAAATATCATACCCCTTGGGGGGGCATGGTATACGTTCGCCTCCGTCCCCCCGCGGACCCGCCCCCCGTTTTACATACTTCCGCTGGCATCCGCCGCCCTTCTGCCGCCTTCCGCCGAAGACGGGATGCCAACTCCTACGATCCTCAAAGCCGAGGCCCTTTGTTCGGAGCAGAGGGGGACGAGACCATGGCAACTCGAAGTAGCTCCCCGGACCCCTCTCGATATCCACACGCACCAGTTGTCCGAACTGCGCCCCGTGGTGGCGACGAGGGGCCATCCGAAGACCAACTACCACCCTAATCTCAGCTCGCCTTCCACGGATTTCTGGAGCGCCCCACGTGTTTCCCGCCAGCGAAGGCGATGCCCATGAGTATCTCATGCTCCGACCAAACGGCGAAAAACAGATCGGACAGGGACGATTTACCCAAAATATGCGTTTCTGGTGTAGGTCGCTGGCTTCACCCTCGCGGCCACGACGACGACGACGACGACGACGACGACGAACTGGGAAGACATGTTTCGTCGTCCAGTACCCCGGGGGCCACAAGATATTTTCATATCCACCGCCCGTGAAGGTCATCGAAAATCGATCCTCCAGGCGGCGGTTGTGAAATAATCACTGCCTCGAACTTGGGGAAACCAAAACGTACCGATACCGTTACTCCCAGGACCTCCCCCCGGGTGTCTTCTGACTAGGATTTCGAGGCGAACCCAGCCGAGGCGACGAGGGCTTCCCAGGAGGCCCAAAAGGGGAAAACAGGGGAGGGCAGCGGTATGGGTACCTCTTCCTCCTCTGAGAACTTCCAAATAAAAATTCCCGACAATGCCCACGAAAGATGCTGTCGAAGTCCTCCTCGTCCAGCGCGGGCGGGAGGCCGCCGGCGAGCACACCGCTGCCCTTGCGCTGGGCGGCGCGAGCGTATTCTGCCAACAGCCTCGGGTTCCGGACCTTGCACCGCGCGTGCGGGAGGGGGGTCTCCTCTTCCCTCCTCCCTCGCTCCCTCCTTCCCTCCTCCCTCTTCCTCCCGCCGCCTCCTTTCTTAACCTTGTCCCTCTTCCCATCTCCTCATCCCCCCTTTCTTCTCCACGTGTTTGTCCTCCTCCTCCTGCTTTTCCTTTTCCTCCTCCTCCTCCTCCTCCTCCTCCTCCCCCATCATCATCACCATCATCATCATCATCATCACCATCATCATCATCACCATCCTTTCCGCCATCATGATCATCGTCAGCATCAACATCACCACCATCACCAACATCGTGATCATCAGCACCACCATAATCAACATCACCATCACCATCATCATCACCACCATCATCAGTATCATCAACACCACCATCATCATCACCATCAACAAAAAGGACAACACCATCAACACCATCATCAGCATCATATTTATCATCACCATCGTCAACATCGGCATCACCATCACCATGCGCATCATCAGCATTGGCATAGTCATTGCAACCACACCATCCTCGTCATCATCACCGTCACCGTCGCCATCACCGTCATCATCATACCACCATAATTATCACCATCGTCGTCATCGCCATCATCGGTAGCATTACGCGCACCACGATCATCATCACCGCCGACAAACACCACCATCACAACCACGAACACCACCACCATCATAACCATCACCACCGCCATCTGCACCAGCATCAGCATCATCACCATTACCATAATGTGTATCTTCACAACCATCATCTCCATCACCATGACCAGCATCACCATCATCCTCAACTACCACCACCAACGCCCCCCCTCCTCCTCTTCCTTCCCATCCTCTACTGCCCATCGCCATCCTCATCATCAACAACATAACCACTTTTAATCATCAGCGCCATAACCATTAGCACCGACAACACCATCATCACCAGCGCCAGCACCACCCCTATCAGTGTTTCACGAGCTCTCCGTACGGAGGGGAGCTTTCGCAGCCCGATTAAGCGGCAAAGCGTGTAATTGCTCGCCATGGTGATCTTCTTCTTGTAACAGTTTCATACCCAGATCTGAACGATGCATGGGAGACACAGACTTTCCTGCCATGACTCAATATGGTGTTGCGCCGATAAACTATGGCTAAGATCACACAGCTCGGGGGAGGGCCGACCGACCAGCGGGCGCGCGCGGCGGGCGGGCCGAACCACTTTTCAGCGATCGAAGCCAGAGCAGCTTCGATAAATCATCGATGTCCGGCGGCGGCGGGACAGCAATGCTGAGGCAATGCAAGGGCGCGACTGAATCAACTCCCCCCGCGGCCTCCCCGGCGAGCTCCACTAGCACGGGCGGGCGTCGCCGATTTGTCAACGCCCCAGATTTGCTCATAAAGTGACCCGTCGCGCCGCGCCTGGCAGGCAGCTCGCCCGCAACCTGGCTCGCGGCGCTCTGAGACGCTCAGTGCGTAGCGCGGTTGCGTCGAGGGGGCAACCGCAGCATAGCCGCGAGTGCCCCTCGTTCTCTTCCACTCAACCCCAACTGTGATCGTCGCGGCGCCAACTGCTGTAGCCTTGCCAGTCGCCTGAGCTCCAGCTCCTAGACGAACGCCAATTGCCGGCGTCCTCTCGCCACGGGGGAGCGGGATCCGCGTTCTCACGCCGCGCTGGGGCAAGATCCACGCGCTGCCGCGACGCGTCGGCTGTTTCGCGCCATGCGGCGGCGCGACGCCCGCGCACAGTCGGGGATCTCTCGCGGCTGGCGGCCCCAGCGCCGTGGCGGAGCTCGAAGAGGCGTCTCCCGAGCGCGAGTGCAAGTCCCACTGGGTCGGGTCGTCAGCTCCGCGACGTCGGGGTTCCTGTCGACCCTCCTGCGCGAGACTGCTTCGTCTCTTAGCTCCCTTGCCGTCGAACTCGGCCTCCCTGCCCCTGCTCTAGTCCTTGGCGTCGCCCGATGTTCTTGCCGCCGTGGGGCGGCCCTCGGGCCTCGTAGAATTAAGCCTCTTTCCTCAGTTGGCAGACTGCGCTCTAGGGGAAGCGCATAGTCAGGCGGTGCCGGAGCCCCTGCATCCCGCGCTGTCGGTCGCGGAGCTCCCAGAAATTCCACTGGCGGCCAGTCATCCTCTATTTCCCATTCCATGGCAGCTTTGAGTTGACTGAGCGGCGCTCCGCGGGGGCTCTGCACCGCGCGGACCAGCCCACGTTTGGCACTTCGCGATGGCGGCCCCCTGGGGAAGCGCAGTCCCAATCGAACGGTTCGGGAATGGCATAGCCGTCCTCTCCCAGAATCCACCTGCCGACGCGCGGCCGCCACATGCACGGAGGAACACTTGCGTTGCTGCCAGTAGCGGGCGTCTTGATCCACCTGTGACACAGCTTCCTGGCCATCTCCTGCTTGCAATGGTTATGTTGCCCTGGCAGCTCGTCATCATGGGGAATTGGTTGCCGGGCAAGGACCGTCATGATGTTGCTGCGCAGCGCGATGGGAATCCGAGAGAGGATCTGGATCCTCCAGATCGAAGCACCGTCGTCTAATGCTTGGCCGGCTAGAGCGCGCGCCAAGCTTCCGAGTCTCAACCAAGTCGGCAACTGCCCGTCCATTTCGCCGCATTGACTCTCCCGTGCTCTCCGTGCCAGCTGAACTGCCCCACCCGAACCTGGCTCTTGTCCTCTGACAATTACACCGTCAGGGGAAGGGTACGACAGCACAGTCGGCAGGCAGGTCAGGAAACGGCACTGGCGCACACCCTGGAGGTCCCGCTGCGGTGCCAAAATGCCTGGTCATAAACCTTCGCACCGAGGCATCACCCGATGGAGTGACAATTCCCTGGCAGGGGTGCCTTGCCGCGCTATACCTGATGCGCATGCGTTTGGGATCAAAGGCTCGGGACATTGATCCTCGCAAACGTGTGGCAGCAGGGACACTGTCGTCATGGGCTTCACCATGGGCGCGTTCCTGGCAACACAGTCGTCGGTAGGTGGTTTGCGCCCGATGGTCGTGTCCCAATCCTCTGGCTCGGCCGCGGGGCCATTTTCGGCGTTCGTCATGTTCGCGCCAAGTAAAAAATGAACAGTATGGCGTGGCAAATGGGCAAAAGCATGCTTGCAGCGTGCCCACGCCCTGTCGTGGCCCTCGTCGTCCAGCATCTCGAAAATGTCGGTCGCCTCAACCCGCCCCCTGAACTGCGAGCGCCGGCTGCGCCATGCATCGCCAGGCGAACCAATGCGCCCAGCTTCTTCCACATCCATGGCCGTCTACCTCGCAAGCGCGCAAGTGCCGGGAAAATTCATGGGGATGAGGCCAATCTCGGGCTTCTGGAGGCAGCGGGGCTCGACCGCGCTGCAGTGGGCGCGCAGAAACCGACGCGCGCTCGCCCCGTCCACGGGGGACAGGCGGCGCAAGAACTCCAGTGGCGCATCAGCCACCAAATCACGGGACCATTCCAACGTTCTTCTCTGGAAACCGCCGCCCCGTTTTCCTTGTCTGCGAAAGAGCCGGGGCCGGAGTCATGGCGCTCCTCCAGCTTTCGGGCCAGCGCGATATTAACAGCCAGCAACCATGCAGAGTCGTCTTCACCAATGAGCGGGGTGCCGAACTCGTCCACCTTCGCGTGCTCTAGCCCACGGCGGGCCGTGCCACCTTCCCCATTTCTGCTTTCCTTGAACCCACGCATCGACGTCCGTTCCTTCCTGGGCGGCGCCAGGGCCCCATGCGAGGCGGAAATATTTCGACGGGAATGTGCCAGGATGCTCGCCGGGGATAACGTCAAGGGGAATTCGCCCGGGCATCAGCGCAGGTCTCTCCTCCGCTTGGTGCCCCCCATCACCGCCCACATCGTCTCTGGCGCCATCCGCCGTCTTGCCACCCAAGGCCGCAAGCGACACCTGGACTCGATCTCTGGCACCAGGAGACGGTGGAAGCGGGGGCTGCTCCTCGTCTGACGCTCCAGGTTCACTGAGCTCGATGCCCTGTGGACGGTCGACTGCCCAGACTGGGGGGTCGCGCCCTCAAAATGTTTCTGGGCCCGCGCAGGTGGCGCAGTTTCAGAAGGTAACCGGGCAGGAAGGGAAGCCGCGGAATAGCCGCGGGCCCCCATCCTCCGTGCTCGCGGCAGACGGCCGGACTTTCTCGCCCCGAATCAGGTCCGAGTCCGTTGCGGCTACCGACGGGCTGTCAGCGCCCTCGCCCCTTGCGAAGTCCCCTCAGATCGGCGCCGCAGCTCGAGGGGGGCCTTGGCGGGGGTGCCGTGTCTATAGGCGCTGGCCAAGTGGCAATGCGCGCGCTGATGCGGCGCGCGCAGGTCAATGTGCGACGCCGCGTTCGACTGCCGGCAGTAATCGCACGACCCCACTGGCTTCAGCATCGACCCTGCGTTCACATACATGCACGTCGCGCAGTAGCACCCGAGTCGCAGGCAGAGGTATACTTGTTCCATTCGGGTCACAGACTTATCGGCCTCTATGACACGCTCCCTCGTCAATGGTTTTGTCTCATCCATAGGCGGGGGCCGATTCGACGGCGCACCATCTCGCAAATCATGCGGCTGCAACTCCTTGGAGGGGAAGCGAAGCCTTGCAAGGTACCCTCTCTTAAAGTCTGCTGTTCCCAGGCGCCGCCAGTTCGACCGCTGGCGCGCTGCCCCTTGCCGGCGGGGCGCGCGGAACGCCGCGGTGTCAGCGCAAATGCCCCCCCCATCATCAATCCGCGTAATTTTTGCGAGACTCCGGAACTCTTTGCCCGCCGTCGTTGTCTCGGTCCGAAGCGGGCTCTCGTCGTTGGAGGCGCCCTCGATATCGTCGTCGGGCGCCGCTGTCCGTAGCCCCATGCCCTCGCCATTTCCCCAGGCGGGCCGCGGGTTCTGAGCTCGATGCCTCCTGAGGTCGTCTAGCGATCAATAAACCAATCGATCATCGGCTTACACCTCCGCCGGGGCGAGAATGTCCAGGTCGATGCGCGATCTCGCGCAGTGCGCGGCGAGCAAGTCCACGTCGGGAACGACAGAGCACGGT